TTTTTTTTTTTTTTGGTACCTGGGATCAAACTTGAGTCCTTGTGCTTGCGAAGCAGGTGGGGGAACCACTGAGCTAAATCCCTGGCCCATGTGCTGAAATATTTTCAAATACTTCTGGATGAAATATTTAAAAATTTATAGAATTACTTCTGGCTGGAGGTGTACTTCAGTAGTAGAGCTCTTTGGTAATGTGCAGGAGGCCCTAGGTTGGAACCTCAGCACTACAGAAAAAGTTTTAAAAATTGTTTCAATAACAGTAGATTCTTCAATCTCTTTATGTAGATTTACTAATCTCTTTTTTTGTTTGTTTTGTTTTTGTTTTGTTTTGTTTTGTTTTTTTGGTACCTCGGGACCTTGTGCTTGCAAAGCAGGTGGTGGAACCACTGAGCTAAATCCCTGGCCCTACTAATCTCTTTCTTTCTGAATATACATTGTATTTGCTATACCCTTTGAGAGTATATCGCAGATATGATTTTTTTTTTTTTTGGTACTGGGGCTCGAACTTGGGACCTTGTGCTTGTGAGTCAGGCAACGGACAGCTAAGATTCTTTACTTTCATGTACTTTGGTGTGTTATCACTGATATACTATGTTATATAAACTATAAATAAAACACTGATTTGCTTTTTTTTTGGTATGGGGGATCAAATTGGGGTCCTTGCACTTGTGCAGCAGGCGGCGAAACCACTGAGCTAAATCCCCGGCCCCAAAACACTGATTATATAAGGAGAGTCTCTTATGTAATCACAGGATAGTTATTAAATTCAGGACATTTAATATTATACTCAAACTTTGCCAGTTTGTCCCAGTGATATCCTTTATACTCCCCTCCTCCCCATGCCAGGATTTCTCAGCATTTGTTGTTGTTCAAGATATTGACAGTTTTACAGAAAAAAAATATTTAAATCATGAAGAAATATTTTTTTCATGATTGGATTCGTTTTATACATTTCTGTTGTGAAAACTATGTAGTTGATATATCCCAGGCATTGCACCATTGGGACAAAAGTGCTGTTTGTTCCATTGTTAGTATTAACTTGGATCCCTTGATCAAAGTGGTGTCTTCCACGTTTCTCTACTACAGTTATTTTCCCTTTTTGGTTAAAAATCAAGTTTTAGGGTGATAACTTTGAGATTTTTGCAAATTGTTCCTCATTAAACTTTTAGCTAGTATTTTTAGCATCCATTTGATGGTTCTTGCTTCAATCAATTATTATTTCTTTTGTTTTGTTTTTGAGACAGGGTCTCACTATGTAGTTTAGGCTGGCCTTGAACTCCCTCTGTGGCCCAGGTTGGCCTCAAACTCAGAGTGATTCTCCTGTCTAAGTCCCCTGAGTGCTGGTATTACAGGCATGGACCACCATGCCTGGTTTTGAATCAATTATTACTGTGATGTGATTTTATAACTCATTTCTTTTATGTTTGTTAATTTGTGTCTCCTCATTTATTTAATATGGATTCATTTAATAGTTTACATTCCACTGGTTGTATTTTAAAATTTTTAACCCTTTTTAAAAAACTTCAGATTTACATAAAAGTTCTAGAAATAGTATTTACAGCTCCATATACCTGTCACCCAGATTACTCAGTTGTTTTTGTTGTTGTTTGGTTTGGTTTTTTTTGGTACCGGGGATCGAACTTGGGTCCTTGCGCTTGCAAGGCAGGCTGCGGAACCACTGAGCTAAATCCCTGGCTCCTAGGATAGGTTTATTTTGGCTCACAGTTTGTAGAGGTTTCAGTCCATAGTCTGGCGACTCCAAGGTAGGGTGGAATAGCAGAGGAATGGGCTGCATGGCACGGTGTCCACGATGAAGACAGGTTCTGGGGAGGGAGATAAGCCCTTTCAGGCCGCACCTCTAGTGACCTCCCTCTTCTGATCAGACCTCCCCTTCCAAATCTGCTGCAAGCCCGTGTAATCTACTCACCCTCCCAAAGCACCCGCACCCCGTGAGTGCATGAGGCTCTTAGAGAACATCTAGATATAAACCACAACACCAGATATCTTGGGATATTTAGGTATTGAAAGACAAAGTGGGATCTTGTAAAAAATACCTTTACTCTTTAGATTTATTCTTTTGCCATTGCCCCCTATCATGGGGTAAAGCTTTCTTTTCTTCCTTACTTATTGTGTGTGTATTTTTCATTTAAAAGTTTTAAATCAGTACAGACTCTTGGGTCTGAGCACTACAGTCTTGTTGAATCTTTCATTTATTTTGATGCTCGAATTATCTTTTACTTGACCAGTGGGGATACCTTCAGGCTGGCTTTTATGTCTTTTGGATATATTCTCATCATTTCTGGAGGACTTAATTGCTGGTCCAAAAAGTTGTCCATGGTGCCCCCCCCATCATATATTTTTCCTTCTCAAATCCTGGACTCAGTCATTTTTCTAAGATCCCTAGTTTCTTTCTTTTTTTTTTTTTTGGTACCGGGGATCAAACTCGGGTCCTTGCACTTGCACAGCAGGCGGCAAAAACACTGAGCTAAATCCCCAGCCCTCTAGTTTCTTTTAGTAGAGAATGATATTTAGGAACCACAATCTGGGTGCTATGTGTGGTCATTGCTTCAGTTGTTTCTTCTAAGCCCTTTCAATGGATAGATCAAGGAATATGTCTACATATTTATATTTCTAGTGCTTTTGACATTTATAAATTTTTTTTTTTTGACATTTATAAATATTAATCTTTGAGCTCAGGGGCTGGGGATTTAGCTCAGTGGTTTCACCGCCTGCTGCGCAGGCACAAGGACCCGAGTTCGACCCAGTACCAAAAAAAATCTTTGAGTTCAAAGGATTTTATTGTAGCCTTCCCGCTTTTCATATCTGTAGTTCATGGGGAGTACGGCTCTTACTCTAGCACTTCTGGCCAATAATGCAGCTCTGGTATTCCCCTTCTCCAGCTGTACCACCCCACAGATATCCTTCCTACATAGGGACCCTTCCTACCAGCTTCTGAATGTGACATCTGAATACTTAGTTTCAGATTAAGGGGACTGGGGGAGGAGTAAAGGTCAGGTGTAAAGCCTAGTCCTCTTCATGCAGCAGCAGCACCACCACCACCCACATACCCCATTCCTCGCTGTGTTCTAGGAACTGCTGGTCTGTGTTACTGCTCTCTGAGATTTACTAGGCCAAGGAGATTGTAAAAGCATAGAAAAGAATTTTTTTTTTTTTTGGTGCGGGGGATCGAACTCGGGTCCTTCTGCTTGCGCAGCAGGTGGCAAAACCACTGCGCTAAATCCCTGGCCCTAGAGAAGAATTTTTGAAGTTAAAAATTGGTTGAGTTAGATTTTACTGAGAGGTCAAACAAGGTGGGACTGAAAATAATAATAGAATTGGTAACATGGATGTTGTGTGACCTTAAATAAGTTTGCTAGTCATTCTGAAATCAAGAGCCAATAGAATTATAGAATGTGATTTGGAGATCCTTTACACAAGATGAAAAAATCACCTACCTTAAGCAAAAAGTGGAATTAGTGGACAAAGATATCTCACTAGTACATAAAGTCCATGAAGGCAAATTCATTAAAAATATTTATGGAGATAAAATTCACATAATAATAATAATAATAATAATATAAAATTCATCTGAACACAGGGAATTTAGTTGTGGCTGGTGAATTTGGTACCCAGTATCTCCAGAGTTAGAACAATGTGAGATGTGTAGTAGCAGTATTTGTTGGAAAATGAGTGAGTAAATGGCAAGACATACAAAGAGCATCAGTCACCAAGTTGTTTAATTTCCTAGGGCTGCCATAACAAATGATCACAAACTATAAGGTTTAAAATAGCAGAAGTTTATTCTCACAGTTAAATAGGTCAGAAGTCCAAAATCAAGATGCCCACAAGGCTGCATACATTCCCTCTGAGGCTTTCCTTGCTTGCAGTTTCTTTTTTTTTTTTTTTTTCCCATTAAGTTTATTGGTACATTTTAGGTATAAAATACAGTTACATTCATCACTGGGATCTTCTACCATTACATGAGTTTCTTGGCTCTTATTTTTTTCCCCTTCACCTGCCCACCCTTCATCCCCTCCACCCTTCCCTATTTGCAAAGACTTTGTTTCCATTTTTTTCCTTTTCTCATATTTTTTCTTTTCCCTTTTTTC